CGTCCACAACATTTGTTTCTTATAATGTTTTTTTTTTTGTTTCTTCAGTGATAATTGTAAAAAAAAGAAAAGAAATGTAGACATCGAAAAACATATGAAAAAACAAAAGAAAGTTTCACGGGGGATCGAACCCGATCCTACGGCGTGGAAAGCGGACGTCTTTCCCACTAAGCTACTGGGGCATACCGAAAGTGGGGGATCTCTTTCCTTAGTAATAATTCAGCCGATAAACTAAGTTTGCTACCGATTTTCCTTTAGCAAAAGCACTCCCGGGTCGAAGTCGGGATGCACCCCGCATTGGCGACATTCTCACCTTGTAAAGAAATCGTACGCGTGCATATTCAACTCGAAGTAGACACGTCGTGCTTGACGTTTGCGCGAGCGATGTCTTCAGCCACGAGAAGGGAGCGACGGCTCGGCGACGTCTTCGTGCAAATCGGCTTGGTGGTCGGGCGTGTCGTACGGGATGAAGACCAATTCTTTTGATCAGTCCCAAATTGTTCTTTTGAAGGCAGACAAAATTCTCCGGTACCGCGAACGACAGTTCTGAAATAGAGGTCCCACGCCCGTCGTCCGCTGCCATCGCGTCCCTGCGAGTCCCACGATACGCAAAACGACGCACGCACAGAATGCTTCCGGTTGTCTGTGAAACTTTTTTTTCAATCAACGTTTTTGCAGCTTTTTAGAAGCCACAAAAATGGGTTTCATGTTTTTTTCTATTTTTAATATTGAGTGTGTTCCTTCAGTGACCCACGACTTTGATTAAATTTGGTGGTCGCATCGATACCTTAGAAAACGGCCCGTGACCGCGGAAAAGAGAGTGAGCGAGACTCGAACCGGTTAGTTCTTGATCGGCGGTTTTCGGGCGGAAAGAAACCGAATTTCGAGCCGAAAATTCTGTTCTGGGTAGTTGAGCTCTCATATGTCACGTACAACTAAAAACCTCGGCGAGCATAAATACCCTGTCAGTGTCCCTTTAAAAACCCTCCTTCGTTGAATTTGGTAAAGGTGATTTCCGTTGATGTAGACGCGGTATGGGGTTAGACACGAACAAGAAGAGTCACTTCGAATCGGCATTTTCCGGCATTCCCATACTTGGACAGCGAACTTCTTTAATTCCTTTTTGCCTTTTCATGCGCCCCCCTCCAACCCTCCCCCGTTTCGTGACTTACCGTCCGGCACCCTCAAGGCTCTGTTATACTCCGACGTAACGCGCGCGCAGGCGAACGCTGGCCGAAGTCGGCTACGTCACGTCAGTCACGCCGCGCGCGTCAAAAATTCGCCCTCTCTAGACTCCGGCCACTCCGGCGGCCCTGGCGACTTCCGCGGCGCGCGTCGGTGGGCCGCCAGCGCGGCGCATGCGCAGAATCTGGCTACGAGGGTGCGTTTCCTGCGAGGGTCCGCCATTTCCGGTTCCTTTTAGTTTCCAATAGCAGACGAGAATTCTCGCGCTTGTTGAGCGCCGAGTTCGAGCGATGGCGAGGACGTACCTTGCACGACGAAAACTCGGGCTTGCACTTGGTGCACCGCTTGCGCCGCAAGCGTAGGCGGTCAATGTACATGCGGTACATCTTTGACAAGCGCACGGTCTACGGTACTCAAGCTTCCTCGAGTCGTAGACACTCGGGTGAGGACGAATTCCCTCGATCAGCTTTTGGACGACCGAGACGTCCGATTCTTTAAACGTGACGCCACACGGAGTGGTGCTCCCGTCGTCTGCTATTGCTCGTATTCACCGCGAGGCCTGCCGGAGCCAGCGCGTGATGCATCCTGGTCCGGCGCGGCCGGCGCGAAATACGGCATGCTCCATTTTGGCGTCGAGGCGGTCAGACGGCGTCGAACGCCGCCGGTCGCGTCGGTTACGACACGACGCCGGAGTATAGAGCGTCGTGTTTTCGCCGACGTGACGTCGCTGTGACGCGCTCGCACGCGCGCGCGCGTTACGTCGGAGTATAACAGAGCCTTCAGTGTCGACTTCGTGACGACTAGGTGGAAGCTCCTCCCAGATCTTTCCAATTTAGCAGAGCGAACTTTGGAGAGGAGGCGACCTGCTCTCCAGCGTTCGCTCTGCTAAAGTAGAAAGAAGTGGGAAGAGCTTCCACTTCGTTCTTGACCTGTCACCGTCTATAATATGCGAGACGTTATTCATAATTTCTCATTAAATAGGAATAACCAGCGGCATGTACAAGGGTCACTCCGAGAGGTATGCATCCTATTTGTCTTCTTGGAAACTACACCAGATACAAACAACCCTAATTATACTCTGATCAGATTAGAATCTCGTCCTTGTAAAAAAATTATGAGTTCGCGAAAGCCGCGCGCCTATCGTGCGGATACTGAATCAAAATGAACAGTTGGGCTGGTTGGATAAACATCGTGAAAACCATTAGAGCCAAGTACAAGGACAAGTCGAAAACAGCGCTTCTCCTCTTTGTATCTTCGGCTTGTCCTTGTACTTTGCGCTAATTGTTTTTATGTACAGATACTCATTATCAGTAGCCAGTAAGCTCAAAAGCTTTCACCGTCGTTTGAAAAGAACGCTGAAGGAGGAACCGAGCGCGAAGCGGTAGACGTCGCCACATCTCGCGACCTCTCTTGAGCTCGAGAGTATAATTAAACGCTACCGTAAACCAGGAGTAACAAAAAGTTTGCCATACGCCCCCCCCCCCCCCCCCCCCCAAAAAAAAAAAAAATTAAAAACGTTTATTAGCTTTTTTTTTTGCGTTAGAAAAAGGGTGGGAGGTTTCTTTCGACGTAGCGATTTTCTTGAGTACGTGCTCCTTTATGCATTTTATGCTTGTCGTTTTGTAGAGAAAAAGGAAGGGAAAGAAAAAACGGGAAAAAAATGAGAGGAGTGGAAGGCTAGGCGGGGAGAGCGGACGCGAACCGTGCAGAAGAACTCCAAGACGCTGGCGATTCTGGGAAGAAACACAGGCTGCTAATCATGGGAATGTTGAGTGCCTTTACACTCTGGCATGTAGCCGCCTTTTTCCGCGTAACGGCGGCATCCTTTGGGCCATCCATTGCCGACGAACGCTTGGGCGAGCGTCCTCTTGAGAGTCGCGGAGTCAACCGATATCGCTCGCGTGTGCGGCTTCGCTCGCGCGTTCGCACGTTCGCCCGTTCCCAAAGAAAATATATTGAAATAGGAAAGACTCAGGAGCATGTATGTACTAGGTTGTATGTAGGGTGTTTGAAAGTACCCAATTGTACTTCGTCGGGTGTCCCAATAGGATGTATTCACTGGACACCATATTTGAGGGCGATGTTTAGAGCGCATGCTCAGAACGAGTTCACATTAATAGCCTGCTAAGACCGGCAACCTTGATGGTGCTAAATGCACGCTCCAAAAGGACTGTGGAAGCTCGCCGTCAGCACGCGCTCAGCAGCAGCGCACGCGGATATGGCCGCCAGTGAATACTCCCTATACATCGAGGTTTTTTTTTTTTTTTTTTTTTTGGTATTTGTTTGCGCCGTCACGGCAGCTATATGTCAATGCGTGTTTGGAAACCGCCAACTTCTATATAGCATCTTCGATCAACTCGCACCGGAATCGCCCTGAAACCAGCACAGTGCACAGCGCTCCTCGGTCGTGCAGCGCGATGTCGGTGCAACATCGAGGACAAACTGCGCCGCGCCGGTGCACCGCGGTGAGCTCCACCTTGCGTCACTTCGCGTTTTGTTCGTTTTTTCTTGCGTAGGTCAGCGCACGGTGCCCGTCTGCTGTCAATTTCTTCTATTCTTTTACTCGCGGATTAGACGGTCCCACAGAAATAAACATCGTGGACGTGATTGTTGATAAGGTCTCGAAGCGGGTGACAATTCCACATGTATATGTTGGCCATCATTATTGGTTCAAGAAAACGAAACACCAGATAATAGCCGTACCTCGCCGTCATCGAAACGCCTCGCGCCGCTGTCCACGAAGTTCGTGCTTTTCGGGCGCTCCTTGCCACCGCAGCAATCGCCAGTAATCGCAGCGATGGCGAGAAGCTCGTCGTCTCGCCGTCAGAAGACCCGAGGAAATCATCTAGTGCAGCTGCGAGGCGTGTTCGTTTTTGCAAGATCGCCATCTCGACAGTCTGCGCGTCTGCTACTCCCGCCATCTTCTCGATTCCCGCTCCTGGCCGCAATGCCTGATGGGACTGCCCCCCGGCGCACCGCCGATTTTCTTGGTGCGCGTTGGGGCAACGAAAAGCCGCACCGGGAGGGTGCGCTTCGTTGATCGAGGACGTCCGGTGCGCACCGGTGCACGTGATCGAAGATGAAGGGGCGCACCTCAGTGCCCCGGTGCGCACCGGTGCGGATGATCGAGGATGCTATTAGTAACAAAGAAAGCGTGCGAGCCACCTGCCGTTTTTTTTTTTTTTTATTACTCTATTTGATAGTATACTCCTAAACATATGCATCTGCGTTTTGTCATACCCAAGCACATTACAGCATTGGCATAAAGGAAGTTCCTGAATTATGTATTTGTTTCAAAATCAAAACAACCGCCGCATAACTAAGTATTTCTTCCCGATTCCGGTTTATAAGATAGGCCAAAGTCAATAATTTTGTTATGTACACGAGGATGGCAACGAGCTGCGAAGGGTAACGCAAATGAAATCTAGGTGCCGCACACATAGTATTCAACAACGGGTAAATATTTTTTTTTTATTAGGTACAACTGTTTCATATGAGGTTGCAAGTACCGGTTAACTTTCGCTGTGCAAAAATAAACATGGAGAATAAAGCAAACTCAAGACGAGGGACGACGAACATTTATTCTCGGGTCGAGGAACGACGAACATTTATTCTTTCTTTTCAGTCAATGTTACCTACTCGCTCTTCAGTTAATGTGAAAAATAAACATGTTGCATAAATTGGCGCTGTAAACGCCACGAATAACACACAGGGTTCAGTGTAGACACAGGCAATGAGTCAGCTACTTTCTTGCGCTAGGTCGTTCTTCGAAAGTTTACTCCTACCGTCCTCTCACAATCTGGAGTACCCCGCAGACGATCCCTCAAGCGCGGTGCTCCACGAGTCTCTCATAACGGCCGACGACCTGACCAGCTACAGGGCCAAGTGGAAGCCCGCGATGAAAGTCAAGCTCGACAGCAAAACAACCCTGTACACGGCGCCACTGCCCAGCGGTGGCGCCACACTTGCTTACATCATGAACATCATGGCGGCCGTCAAGGTAAGCTCTCCTTTGCAAGTGCGGCCCCTGAACGCCGCCATCTTGTTACTGGTGTACAGCGTGTCCCCGAAAAAAAAAAGACATTCATATGGTAAGCAAAGGACGACACATACGCGAAAAGGCCTACCGTTGCTTACCTGCGGTCTCGGAGTTCTCTTATGCCTAATCTTCACCATCTCGTCTGCGCACTAACTTTCTGTAAAAAAATAGATTTTTTTTTTTTTTTTTTTTACAAAAATTATTTATGCATTGTCGAACGCTCTACCTTCGCCTAAATGTAGCGCTAACGGTCGGGACCACATACCGAAGCTTCAGAGCCAGGCACGTAGCCAGGATTTTGTTTCGGGTGTGTGTGTGGGGGGGGGTTCATATTAAAAATAGCGCAAAAAAGACGGGACAAAAGGGGAGGGGGGCGCCCATGACAAAATGCTGTATGAGGGGGAGGGGGGAGTGGAGGTCCCAGCAGAAATGAAGATTTTGGGAAAGGGGGGGTCGGGCCCCATGACCCCCCCCTGGCTACGTGCCTATTCAGAGCTAACCGTTATTCTATACAAAAGTTATCAAAGATGTTTTAAACTTTCAATTGGAAAATAGGGTCCGTTCCCCGTAGTCTGCGCCGTTCAGCCCCATGTATTCGCAGGCTTCGTTGGCCACCATGTTCTCATCGAAACCTTCAGGAAATCGCTCGTAGCGTTTGAATACGATAACTGCTTGTTCTGAAACCTTGGCATCTGGGCTGCCTTAACTAGAATCGACGTTTTAGCTGAGACTATGAAAGAAAGCTCTGCCGGAGCTATTGGCGACGTGCGTGATCGGAAGCGTCACTGTGGTTGGCCTTCCAGGATTGGCCAAAGGCTGACTATGACGTCAGCAAAAGATTTCTCATCGACGGAAATAAGAGGAATGTAAGAACTTCAATTTTGACGATGTTGGCAGTGTTGCTTTGAGAGCGATTTCGAGCTTCCATCGTGCTCATTACAAACACCATTGAACTTGTTGTTCGCGAGGTAATGACGTCACGAGAGGGAACCATAGGAGGGCGCCACCAAAACATCTCGCCGCTCTAATAGCACGAGCGGAGTTGCATGTGAAGTCGAGTCTAGCTCAAGCGCTCGCGCTCAGGCTCAATAGGCTTTCTTTCAAACAGTCTAAGCTAAGACGCTAATTCTAGCGAGCCGGCCCTGGTCCGTACCGGTAGCGCTACGTTTGGGCAGAGACTGAGTTAGGGTCCAGCGATGTCTAGTTCATTATTACAAAAAAAAAATATTTTCGGGGACACCCTGTACATAGGTCGTCTGATAGTTAACGGCTGACAAACGTGTATACACGTCTGCAAGGTCAGCCTCTGGGAACCGCCCTCTTTCTGCTGGTGTATTTATATCGTCCAAGATGGTTACGTCCCAATCCGGCTGATGCCTCAATTCGGCTATTGCCTCAATTCGGCTAGAAGTTTCAATTCGGCTGGACGTTCCAGTTCGGCTACATCCTCAATTCGGCTAGAAGTTTCAATTCGGCTGGACGCTTCAGTTTGGCTAAATCTTCAGTTCGGCTACAAGTTTCAATTCGGCTGCATGCTTCAGTTCGGCTAGATCCTTGCTTCAATTCAGCTGGACGTTCCAAGTTGATCAAGCTAGACATCCAAGCATAAGGTGCCCCCAATTTTTTTAGAGATACGTTAACTATATCTGCATCTTGCCTTAACATTGCAACGTGCAAGCTCAGATCAATAAGTTCAAGCAGCTACGAAGGCTTTGGGCAAAGAAACATTTGTGTTTGTGTTGTTTGTTCTGTGGAGCTGCTGTGCAAACACCAGGTCTCTGCTTCAAAGAAATTTATTCACTTGCCCAAAGAATGGATTACAGCAGTCCAAAGATTGCTTCTTCCAGTGCTGGCCACTGTTCACGTGAAAGGCACAGGACGCCTTGGCAGCTCCTACGTCGAACTGAGTTGGAGAAAAAAAGAAGATACCTGCATCAGTTATGAGACAAAACAATATGGTAGGGGTTCAATCCAGTGATTTACATCTTCAGGAGGCTAAAGAGAATGTAACAGTATACCTGTAATTTTTTTCAAGGTCACAAATTTGCCTCAAAATTGGCTAAACACACCAGTAGCTTTGACTGACCTCGTAACAAAAACCTTACGTCCGCAAAAAATTGTTTGGCGACATTTAATTTTCAAATTCGGTCCTCATCATATTTTCAAAGTGAAAGTTTCTACTGGCAGTATTAAAAATATGGAGGCTCGGGCAAGCTGGTGTTGCATACTCCTCTACAGTGCGAAAAATTCGCAACCAAGCACAAGCACACACAAAAGGAAAAGACATTCATGAAGCTCTGACTTGCAACTCAGACTTGTATTATTTCTTCTCTGTCTGCGCCTGTCTTTTTAAACAATAAGATTTTTTTTTTTATTTTTGGTTTTATCTGGATGCAAGATTATCTAATTCTTATTTTGTAATAAATCTGGACAAGGTTTAGTGACAGTTTTCTTCTAACCTCGAAATCTTTTCAGCTTCAATAACTTCCCTAATTAGTTGGTTATTATTTTTACTCATTACGGTGCAATGTTTTTAGTTCTGCTTGACATCTGCAATCTTGGCAATGTATGCCTTAGTGTCCAGAAGTGATTCTGTTTATGTTGTAGTCGTGTTCCCCTTGTCTATGTGACATCAGTATTTGTGACGTCGGGGTGGGGAGGGGTTGGGTTTTGGCAGTAGAACTTGTTTCCAACTGATTAGAAGAATTTCGATGGCAACAAATAAAGCCTGCGGAACCCCAACAATAGCTCAGCAGCACGAAAGAAATATGTTCCATTCTGTTCTCTGATGTGGTTGTGCTAGCCATGCTCCAAACAAACAAGAGTTTCGAACAAACCATTTGGGCTTCGTAACGTGAAGAGGGGTACAGTTTCTATCATGAAGGAAGCCATTAGCCCGCAGATTTTGTGGGACGAGCGAAGGCGGCGGAACTGTCTAGATTTCACACTTTACCCCGCACAGCCATGCAGCATGGCACGTTCCCATGGCACCTACGGCTGTGAGTAGCAAGTATGTCAGGGAGCCATTAAAAAGGTGGGTAAAACAAAGTTTTTCATTGACCGAATCGAGGAGACTGATAGCTTAATGTACCGACACCTGGATAAGTAACCCTGTTGTTGTTTACAGGTTTTATGGCGCAAGAGCTCCGACGGCCATACTGCGCCAAACTAAGTAGGATAAGTAACCCTGGTTTGCAAGTTTTGTCGTGGGAGAGTTGGTATTAACTGGGGTGTACTGCGAGTTGTAGAGGATCTAGAGTCACACCGCCATATTCAGCTCAAGAAACCTCGTCTAGGCACAGGCAACTCCTTCCGCAATCATTGAGACTATAAATTAATTAATACACTTGTGTCTGGTTATTTTTTCTGTTTCTTTTGACTTTCTGAGAATCGAGAAACTCAGCAAGCAAATTTAATATCTAAATTATTCTGAAAAACTGAGAATTTAATCAAAACAAGCTCTGAGAAACATCAAATTTTTCACAAAGGTAAACCCCAGAAAACACTCTCCAATGCCGCAAAGGATTACATTCTTTTGCCCTGTCTTTCTTCTCCGACATTGTTTCCCTGCTTTTATCAGTCTCGGGTTTTCTAGATTATGATCGACAAAGGATTAATTCTGGAAACACGGAATGCCGCTTATAGTGATGCTGCTATATGTCACGCTAGGGGTAGCCAGGCAGGCTTTGGTGCAGCTTGGTTATGACCTTCCTCGCAAAGGGAAGTTTTGGCATTGCATACGAGGCGATACTTGCCCAAGTCTAAAGGTTACCTTGGCAAGGTTATGGAAGCACCCATGCTCACAAGTACGGTAACTGCCCAGGTCACCTTGGAAGGTCTCAGCACACGGCAGGCACCACCGTCTGTCGTAGGTATGATGTGCTGCAATGTCTGATGACACAAACTGCAGCAAAACAAAACATATTTTTCTGTGAAACAGTATCCATAGCTGCAATCTCCGTACCGGCACACTGCATGAGTAGCTAATCTCATTGTGCACTTCTTTCTACATTAGAAGCACAGTTTAGCCTGAAGGCGTCGGCATATTTCGGTTCCACGTATAAAGTCACTCATACAAATTTACGTCAAACAAACATATTTCGCCACGTCTGTGGCTGTGGCAGAAAATACTAAGAAAGGGGAGATAAATCTACGATTGCATGCTTGAAATGGTCAGAAATGGGAGGAAAAAGCCCCGAGACACTTTCCTCCCATCACTCCTCCGTGAACAGCAAGGTCGAGGGAGCACACTAGCGGTGCAATCGGTGGTTTGTACGCGGTGCTCGAACGTGATTATTTTACGATGTTTGGATACCATCATTTCAGCCATGTTGCGATTACATCGATACATTAAAATTGTCGAACGCTGATTGAAAAAAAATTGTACCGGCTCATTCACGACTTTCTTAGCTTTGGTTGCTCCCATTACGGAAAAAAGGGGTTGTTTACCAAATAAACAACGCACTCCCGAGCTTCACCCAGTTTGTCACTGAAGGCTTTGTTCGTGTTCGAAGCTAGATCTTTGCTCAAAAAGCGCTTTGAAATTACAAACAAATCTACAAGGACTCTCAGCAACCCTCGTCTCATTGAACCGCAGCGCAGTGTTCGCCCAAAGGAGCCGCAAGTAACGACTCTTGAGAACAAAATAATTATCTATAAAAGCTAGACACAATGCATGGTTCCGGCATTTGAGCACAAGGTATTTGACGTCTTTCGGAGAACGCCACAAAAGCTTAGTATTCCAACAAGAGCTTAAACGTAAAAAAATTTCAGTTTTCTTCGTATCTGCCTGAACTGGGCGGAGCCACTCGAACGACCCGACGTATGCAAGATCCAAAGCATGTGTCGCAAACTGCTGTGTGCAGCACGCCGGAGCAGCCATCTTTCCAAGGTTTTTTGTTCAGAGCAATAAACGAAACTCAAACTAATTTCGGTCTATCTTATATGAGTCAAAAGCAGTC